GCGGATCTGCGCTCCGAGGCCGGCACCGCGGTTTTCCAGCGCCGCTGCTTCCCCTAGGACGCTTCTTCCCGGCGTTCCCGCCGTCTCTATTCACAGGGAACAGGGAATCCAATGGCTACGTGGAGAGGATCCGCGACGCACCCGGACATTCCGGATTCCGGCTCCGCGAGCAGCCTCAAATCCCTTCCTTAGCTCGGCTCCTCCTGGGAAGCCCTGCACGCATTCCCAAAGCCAAAAGCGACCTCCATAAACGCTAAAACTCGGGATTTTGGGAGATTGTTGGGGCAGCCCGAGGCCTCGCACAGAGCAGAGCTTCAACAAGGCCCCGAGTAACGACCGGCCGTTGCTTTGGGGCCCGTTACTTGCTCAAATTCCCTCTTTTCAGCCCCAATTTGGTGGATTTTAAAGCTCTGGAAAGGCCGAGCCGCATGCCAAGCGCGATGCGGATCCATAGCGGAATAACCCGAAATAATAAGTGATTTAATAACTAAGCGGGGCTGCAGACCTCCCTGAAGCGCACGGGGGAACGGCCCGCGAGGAGCCGGGAGAATTCAGAAGGAAAACCACCAATAAATCAAAATCATCAAATTAGCACAACTCGCAGCACAGCAAAACCCTCCCGGAGCGGCTCCTGGACGGAAAACCCGTCCCGGGCTGGAGCTGGGACCTGGGTTTGTCCTCGGTGACGCGGGAGAAGGCAAATTCCCCCAGGATTGACACCGGGAGGCCTTCCGGAGGGGACAAGGCTGCGGTGTGGGATGAGAGCGGGAATTTTCCCCTCTCTTCCCTGTTCTCGTTACCCGGCAGCTCCTGCTCTTGCTTCCCGCTCCGCAGCGCTGCCGTTATTCCCGAGCTCGCTCCTCTGCGGATATTCCCATTCCCGAGGCAGCCCAGCTGCTCCTTTCCTGGCACGCCGCTCCGTAATCCACAGCGCACGTTAACCGGCTCGTTAAGACGGAGCCGAGGCCGTTATCCCTGTCTAGACGGGCTCCAGGGGCCACATTGCGGGTCCCTCCGACGGGATCTGCCGCGTTCCAGCGGCTCCTGCACAGGGCTCTGCCGGGACCTCCCGTTTGGAAGAACTTCCATTTGGGAACGGGAGCGGAGCCGGGAGGCACGAGGAGCTCTGCAGAGCCGCATCCAGGCGCCTTCCGGAGGGCGAGAATTCCCAAAGCCCATCGGAAACCATGGAGCAAACCCCGTTTTGCAGCAGCAACACCCGCCTGGCACCACGATCCCGTTTCCTGGCGCTTTGGTGCCGTTGGAAACAGCCGCCCTTTGGCAAACGAGTGTTTCGGGCGACAGGCGCCCGCCAACAGGCGCTGGGGCTGTTTGTTGCGCTGTTGTCACGGCGCTTTTCCAGCCCCGCTCCAGCTGAATTCCGGACGCGTTCCCGAGGCCTGGAAGCCGAGTGCCCGGCCGGGCCGTGCCAACATGAGTCACCCCTTGGGAAATCCTGGAGCGCCGGGAGCGCAACAGCCGGATGCTCTTCCTCCCCTCCGAGGAGGCCGATGGATCCGGCTGCCTCCGCGGCCATCCCGAA